CGCAGGCAGCAAAGTCTACAGAGTAGCTGGTACACAGCTGGGTCGGCTGGAGCAGCTGGGTTTGATGGGCTGGGTGCTCTCTGTAGTGCAGTCTGGTAGCTGCATCACTGCACATCTGATATGTTGCCGTTACGTGTGTCTAAATGACACGTGGTGTAGCACTGGGGAAACTGAGACAAAAACTAAGCGATTACAAATCAACAAACCAGACTGCATGGGACAGATCTTCCCTTCTGTTTTGCCTTATCCACTACCACCCTTTAATCTGCTGCTACACAGGTAACTAGTAAATTACAGGAGTGGAACACGAGAAGGATAGAGGTGATGCAGCTGGCAGAGGGACAGGTAATAGGGCAATAGATAGATCTGGCTACTCTCTACTTAACTCTGCTATCATTGAATCCTGACGACTTCGTGACGCTTTGGCCAAGATTCTCAATGGTACTTTGTCACACACACACTATGACGCGTGAGCATTCCTGTTGAAGTCAAAGGGGTATTGGATACCATGGTGATAAGCAGATGCTTAAAGTTACACACACACTTAAGAACCTTGGGGTGTGCGATCCCTTGGTAACAGGAAGCTCATGGATCGAATGGCTGGAAAAGAAAACAACCCTCCACTGTCAAATGGCCCATGGTTGCGTTCCTGCTCCCCCAGGAATGGCAGCCTCACAGCCTAAGAAACATTGTCCTAGGTGCGGCAAATACCCGGTGTTCCTGAGGTGGATCCTGCACTTCCCCTTGTTGACGCAGGTCAGGGTCCTGCCCTCTGCCCCACTCTTGGTGTTGTGTGGGGGCAGTTGTTACCTGGGTGGTGTTCTGTTAGACGATAATAGAGGTTTGGCTGCGTGTGTGTGTTTCTTCAGCGTGCCCCCTGATACTGCACAGATAGCTGGAGAGCCAGACCGCAAGTGAACCTCCCCCTGGCTACAAAAACCAGATACGGGATGAAGGCACTTGGTCAGGTTTTTACGGGAACACTAACACACGCTTGCCCGTTGCAATGTACGCAGCTCGGTCACTGCTGGGACACGGCACACTGCCCCGTGGTGGCCAAAGACAGACCTTCCGGGATACATCCTTCTACACAGACAGAAAGAAGTTACGCATCACTCCTGATGTGTCTGGGTACCACGCATTCACTTATTCAAGTTGGCTGGGTCAAAACATTCCTGTCATCCTCTTCCCCTGCGGCCGGGTCAGCATGTTCCTGCTGCCTATGGGGAGTGTTTGCATAGCTTGTGCCTATTACCTCTTAGGTATTTGTGTTTCTGCAGGATTGGACCTGTTCTTGCCAGATGCTGGGAGCAGGGCCTGCCTCGGGCTCACAACCGGGCTTTGCTTTATATTAGCAAGTTTTGACCATTACTTCTGTCCACCCCTTAGGCCTCATACCAGGCCTGTGATACAAGGGCTAAGTTTCAGACCCTCTTCTTACCACAATGTGTGCTCTGCTCGTGCCCTGAAGGGAGAGAGAGGGGAGCAGGGAAGGGATCTGGGTCTGAAGCACAGCCCTCTCAACCGCTGTGGCCTTCTTGCCCTCTTCCCCCTCTGAGTAGGGTTACCCTCAGTCCTGGATGCTGGGGGAGCTTCCCTGCTCCACTGAGGCAAGGACTGCCTTCTTCCAGTTCTCTGGTCTATCAAATCTCAGCCACACCTCCAAACTCCAGTCCTCGCTCCTTTCTCACACCACAGAGTCTGCCTGAGTGTGTGTGTGTGGTGGGGGAGGTTATTAGGTTCTTGACAGAGCCCCAATTAACTACAGGCTTCAATTAGCCTGTAGGAGCCTTCTCTAGTCTACAGGGAATCATACCTTAATTAGCCGAAGGCTTATAAATCTCCCCTCTAGCACGCTCCTGCACACAGGTGATCCACAGGGCCTTCCACTTGGAGGAGCAGGGAAATCAACCCGACAGTCAAGGCTTTGCCAGGGATAAGCAGCTGAGGCTTTTTGCTCCACAGGCAAGCTCTACAGCATCCAAATCATACTTATGCAGCCAACCCTCGCTGCCCCAGATCAATGGATTGATTTCCAATTAGGTTAATGGATGTTGAAAAATGGTACTGTAATAACTTCAAAGCCCTCGAATCAATTCTCCCCCCCACACACAGCCAGCTCTGCTCCATGCAGGCTAGACAACAGGCAGGCTGGAAGAAGATGATCTAATATGCCATTTATTGATCCATCAGGAAAAACCAGGAATCTAATGGGGTTTTTGCATGGCTGCTGATTGCGAAGGGTCAGTGAATGAGTCTACGGGGACTGGCTGGGTAATGAAATAGGCAGAGTGGAGGGGAGAAGCACAGCTGAGAAGTGAGGCCTTTCCACCATCTCTCGGCTGCTGGCTTCTGCGGCCAGTCTAACCAGGCCGGTGCTTGTTGGGAAATGGAAGAATTGTGCAATGAAGAGAGAAGGGAACAAGTGAGAGGTGTTGGCTTCAAATGAAGCAGGTTTTGCCTTGCTGTTTGCTGCTAGCCATGTGCTCATAGAACTATCCAGAGGGAAGGACGGAAGGGAAGGGGTCCCATCGCCCATGATGGGCATCACTAGAGTTCTCGTAGGTCATTGGCAGTGCCCATGCCAATAATGCCCACAAGTGCAAGGGCTGACTATTTCCCTTATGCGTAAACTCCTTTCCACGGTAAGCACGAAAGCACCCAGCCCCTGGTAATGAAGGGGGCTGCAGACTTCAGGAGTGGTTATAAGGCAAAGGGTATGTCTACACTAGCCCCCTAGTTCGAACTAGAGTGGCTAATGTAAGCATTCGAACTTGCAGATGAAGCCCGGGATTTAAATATCCCGGGCTTCATTTGCATGTTCCCGGGTGGGCGCCATTTTTAAATCCCCTTACTTCGAACTGACTGCCCGCGGCTACATGCGGCAGTCAGAAGTTAATCCGAACTAAATCCTTAGTTTGGATTAACTGTTACACCTCCTTGCAGGAGGAGTAACAGTTAATCCGAACTAAGTCCTTAGTTCGGATTAACTTCTGACTGCTGCGTATAGCCGCGGGCAGTCAGTTCGAACTAAGGGGATTTAAAAATGGCGCCCGCCCGGGAACATGCAAATGAAGCCCGGGATATTTAAATCCCGGGCTTCATTTGCAAGTTCGAATGCTTACATTAGCCACTCTAGTTCAAACTAGAGGGCTAGTGTAGACATACCCAAAGAGCTTTTGGCCTCCCGCTTGACAGTACTACTCAAGGCTCCTATGAATGCCTCCCCGCCCTGAGGCGTGCTACTGCATTGGCTATTATCACACAACCCCCCGATTTCTAGCCAAAACGTCTGCCCCTAGCTTAGGGAGAGCGTTCGACAGTGAGCATTCGCTGCTCCCTTGCCTCTAGGGCTGTTGTTTTCACTGCACAACAGGACTGAAAAACAGCTGGAAAGTATTCCCAGATCTGAACTCGAGGGCGGTGGTTTTCAAACGACGGGTCGCAACCCGGTGCTGGGTCATGGTGGTCAGTGGGGGGCTATGGCAGCTCCCTGCCTGTCTTGACACCACAGACTGTGTGGTGTCCCAGAAGCAGACGGTCCGTCTCCTAGGTGTGTGGGGGGCATGCACAAGGCTCCCCACACTGCCCCTGCCCTGAGCACTAGGCTGCACTCCCATGGACCCTGTTGCTGGCTGCCTCTCTGCACAGCATTGTCTGTGGTGCCCAGAGAGGCAGGAAGCTGCCTTGGCCCCCTCTGCTGCATCACTGCCTGGGAGCCACTCGAGGTAAGACCCTCCTGCCCCGCATCCCGCACCCCGCCCTGCGCTCCCCGCCCACCAACGCTGAAGCTCTCATCCTCAGCCTCAGACCTTCAGAGCCCACTGTACATTGGGTGGTGGGTATCAACAATTTTCTTCAACTGGGTCATGAGAAAAAAAGTGTGAAAACCACTACTGTAGTGTACACCCACCTCACACCGGTGTAAATGACTAAATAAAGTGCAAGCCAATGAAAAGTCAGAACCAAAAGACCAACCTCATCCTGGGTGCAGCTCTGCCAGAGCTCATGGAGATATAGCAGATAAGGAAGTGGCTGATTACTGTGTGTAAAGTTAACCCAAGAATAACCCAACTCAGCATGACATTTGGGACCAGCATCTAGCTATGATCCTTTACACATTCCCAGAAGCCCTTAGATATAAGTGAAAACTGTTAAGGAATCACTGATTGCACCTGATTAAATACATTCTATAAGAAATAGCGAGGATGGACTTCACACTTGGGGTTCCCACTATGGGACAAATCCATTGGTGTGAAATTGCATCGGTGCATTTCAACATAACCTGATGACATTTTGGCATGGCACTGTCGTATGGGATCGCAAGTCACTACCTTGGTATGCACACATGAGGCCTGCTGCCTCAAAATACCATCTCTTTGGAGTGCGATGATGATTTGTGGGACCCATCCAGGATTATAAGGCATCAAGAAACGTCCTACAACACTTACCTTCCTTCCTCCCCCTTCCCACCCCCCCGCATCCCCCTTCTGTTCTGCAATGCGATTTGTCCTTTTCATATTTGTTCATTTTTTTTAATTGTATCCTTTGGTATCTATGGTTGTGACTATTTTCTTCCACTATTTGATCTGAGGAAGTGGGTCTGGCCCACGAAAGCTCATCATCTAATAAACCATCTTGTTAGTCTTTAAAGTGCTACATTGTCCTGCATTTTGCTTCAACTACCCAAGACTAACACGGCTACATTTCTATCACTATTCTACAAAGCACAGTTCTCCCGCACCTTTGGAAAACTGGGACAATGCCCCCCAAAAAAGCCTGGGCTGAGGGTTACTGGTGAGAAAACATCAACCCGCTGCATTGTTTTGCAGTTCAAACCAGAATTCTCTCCTGTCCCTGTAAGATTGAACCACTGGCACGTTCCTCCACACTTTGCTCTGCACACACAGAATGCGAAGCCGGTCCCCGCTGTGGAATAGAAAATTGCAATTCACACATCGCCCGGAGAGCTTGTCATGGGCATGGCCTGTTCTACTCACGTTGTACAGGATGTCCGTCCAGCCCTCCATGGTGATGCACTGGAAGACAGTTAGCACCGCAAACAGGATATTGTCAAAGTTGGTGATTCCATAGTTGGGGCCCGGCCAGTATTTCCTGCATGTGGTTCCATTCTCACATTGCCTGGCAGGTGGATCCTCTCCGCAAGGAAAATCTCCGATCTCCTCACCTATGGAGACAAGCAAAGAGGGGACACGGTTATTGATCAAAGGCTCCCAAACATGCTGGTTTCACTGAGCCCCAAATGGGCTGCCTCCCGGACACGCAGGGTCTGATTCTCATTTACACTACGGTGCCTTTTTGCTACTTTGGAACCTTAAAGTGGGTCCAGCCACAAAAGCCCCCTGACATTGCCAGGGGCGTGATAGGGGCTTTAATCAATGTAAATCAGATGCTGGGTTCAAACTTAGCACTCGCAGCAGCGTGAGGGCGATGTTCCGGGCCCTGACTGAGCAATATCATTAACATTAGCATTAACAGCCAGAGGTTCGTTCCAAAAAACTGCAGCATCCCATCTATGCCCTGGAACCAGTGCAAGCAGGAAATCTAGCACTAGGCCAAGAGATGCCAGGGATTTAAAGCAGAGTGAATACTGTGATGCAGTGACATGCTATGATGTACGGAAGAGTACTGAGTATTAGCATTCCTCCTGCTGTATCACAGTGAGGAGGGGCAGACGCAAAGGATATGTCTAGACTACATGGCTCCGTCGGCGGAGCCATGTAAACTAGTTTACCCGGCACAGTCAAAGAAGCGGAGATTTAAATAATCCCTGCTTCATTAAAATAAACATAGCCGCCGTGCTGTGCCGAAGATCAGCTGACCCGGCACAGCACGGCAGTCTAGATACGGATCTGTCGTCTGGGGAAGCCTTTGCCGACCGATCCTGTAAACCTCGTTTAATCTAGACATACCCAAAGAGACTATGTGCCAGGCACAGCATCCCGCGTCTCTTGGCTTTACAAATGGGGGCTTGTTTTCATTCTTTCAGTGGTCCAGTGCCGCTGGGGTACAGTCTGGGTATGCTTCAAGCTGGAGATCTATTTCCAACTTGAGTAGACAAACCCACACTAGGGGCACGTCTAGACTGCCCGTGGCTTTCGAAAGAAGCTATGCAAATTCAACGCATATCTTCCGTTTTTGGAAGAGTTTTTTCAGACAAAAAAGCAGTCTAGACGCGGTTCTTTCGGGCAAAAAACCCTTTTTCGAAAGAACCCTTCTTCCTAAAAAAATGAGGTGTACAGGGTTCTTTTGAAAAAGGGTGGGTTGTTTCAAAAGAACCGCACCTAGACTGCTTTTTTTTTTCCTGAAAAAACTCTTCCGAAAATGGGATTGGAAGAAGATATGCAAATTAGCACCAAATGTGCATATCTTCTTTCAAAAGCCACGGGCAGTCTAGACGTGCCTCTAGTGTGAATTTGTCTACTCAAGTTGGAAATAGATCTCCAGCTTGAAGTGTACCCAGACAGTACCCTAGTGGCACTGGGACCACTAAATGAGAGTGAAACCAAGCCCCCACTTGTAAAGCCAAGAGACCCGGGTTGCTGGCAGGCAGGCTAGAACCTGGCCCCTTTGGGGCTAAAGCCAAGTGGCCCTTAGCTACGGCTGTGCACAAGATTTCACTCTCCATTGCAGTGGTCTCAGTTCCTGTGAGTTACACTACCCATAGGTACGAGGCAGGCCTAAGGCCAGTGGTGAAGGCTCAAGATGCCTCTGACCAGCTCTAACTTGTCTCTGGAGCAAGGGCATAACAATTCCTCCCTGGTCCATTTTGGGGAATGCAGAGGACGAGGCTGACGCGTCCTTGCCAATGCTACTTCTCCCCTTGAAACAGATTTTCATGTCCAAATGCCAAACATGTTACAGATTGTAAGTCTTTGCAGACAGGAATGGTCACTGTGCTACATGTTTGTACAGCACCTAGCGCAGTGGGGCCTGGCCTCCAGGCATGCCCACAATACGAACAACTAGTAATAGCGGCTCTGCTTGTCCTATACAATCACTGCAATATCGTCAGTGTTGAATTCACTTGCAAAGCTGCCCTGAGTATGAAACATCCTCTGCTCTATGGAGAGCATCCTCCAGCCCCACTGAAGGCAAAGGGAAAGATATCTACCACTTGCGAACACTTCAGAGGAGGTGTGGCAAAGGTGAGCTAGGCCCTCCGAGGCAAGACCAGAAACATCCCCTCAATGCTGCGGCTAAGCCAGGAAGATTGCTCCCCCATCACTCTGGCTCCGAGCAAGGTCAGAAACGCCTATTTGTTGTCGGTTCGAGCCATTCCTGCGCCCCAGGCAGCGGGCGCGTGACATATGTGCGGCTCCGCCCCCGGGCGCACAGCGCATGTGCGGCCCCGCCCCCCAGCATGCTGCGCACCTTCCAACTGCCATCAGGTGCCCCCCATAGGTTGGTGCCCCGGGCAGCTGCCCAGCTAGCCCCCCGCTTAATCCGGCTCTGTTTGTTGTCATGACTGAGCCAACATTGGTCACTTGCCAAATAGACACACAGCGCCCCTCCTCACCCACCAACAACTGAAGTCACTTGATATCCAGAGCCCTCTTGGTTTCCATGTTCGCTGCAGCTTTCCGGAGCAGTTATCACACTAAGGCCCAGTTACACTGCTCCGGCGGAGGCAGCGGAAAAGGCACGGTGAGGCAGGGGCAATGAGAATCGGGCCTGACTAAAGTAAATTCACCAAAGGAGGGAATAATAAATATCAACGATTAGTATTATTCTATGGAAAGAGCCCTTCAGAGGAAAAACAAATCCGGCGGTGGCCTGGCTCTTGGGTATCTCACAATACGTGTGTGCAAGCAGCCTTTTCCCATCTTAAGACTCAGTTTTGCGGTCAGGATCCCATGTGGGTCACTATGGCTCTTGTAATGAATGCTGAAGGGTTTACTGAAGCGAGGCAACAAGAAGAAAATAGTCTTTGAAGACAATTCTCCAGGGGCCAGGCCTGCTTTCTGACATTTGGCCTTTTGTTGCAAGGTGAAGGCTACAAACATCCATTACTACATGTATTGATTACCTTATGAGCAGGAGACATGACAAGCAAATAGGGTCTTCTAAACTCCATTGCCAGGAGAGAGATCAGGAGAGGGACTTGGTATTAGCTACTTCACTTATTAGATTTTTAAAAGGATGCAAAGTGATGCAGCCAAATTATCATCATTTGTATCCCAGTAGTGGCTATCGACTGCAACTGAAATTAGGGCCCCCTTGTGGCTATGTCTACACTGCAACCTGCAAACTGCAATTTGCGTACCTTTTTCCGCTTTTGTTTTTCAGAAGAGGCTTTTCTGACATTTGCTCAGGTACACAGGGTCAAATGTTGGAAAAACCTCCTCTTTCAGAAGATCCCTTATTCTTCATAAAACGAGGAATACAGGGCTTCCAAAAGAACGTGCCCGCTTTTTTGGAAACTGTTCTGAAAAAGCAGACGCATTCCCTGGACGTGGCAGAGTTTTTCTGGTATCGGTATCCCGAAAAGCTCTGATTTAGACATAGCCTGTGCCAGGTGCTATCCATGCATAGTCTACAATAAGGCTCTATTAGCAATTAAATATGATTGTTTCAGAAAAGCTGAAATGTCCAGTTTTGACCTTTGTGAGGAAATTTCTTTTCTTTTCCTGACTGAAACAATTTGGCAAAATCCATTTAAATTCTCAGATTGTTTCAGTCAAATGCAATCCGCATTTTTTGGTGAAAAAATGGATTACAAGAAATATTTTCACTCAGCTCTAGTCTAGAGTCCCTAGAATACCAACTACCTCAGCTTTTTAAATCTACTATGTTTTTAAATGCAAGTCTGCACATGCCATAACAGTTTGTTCCAGGATACAACTACATCACAAAAGTTTGTGTCACAACAATCAGTTGGGTCGCATCTAGACTAGTCATACATGAACATTTTACCAACTCAAATTAACCATCAATTAGCAAGTTTTAAAAATCCCTCTAGTCAATACACACTCAAAGGGAGATACCTGATATCAGTTATACAAGTGTAAATCCAGGATAATACAATTGATTTCAGTGGGATTACTCTGGATTTTTACACTGGTGTAACAGAGCAGAACTGGCCCATAATCTCTAGAACCTATTTCAAAGGGCTAAATAGGTGTCCAAAGGAAAATTCATCAACGGGTGATTCCTTCCCGTCTCAAGATGATTCCATGGTAATGACTTCTGCAATTTGGTAAGCAGGAATAGTCAATGAGAATGTGTGCCAATGGCTGTGGATAAAAAAATTCTTGGTGTCAGCAAAACAGAAGCACACGGAAGTTTACAGAACGGAAAATCTCTCATATATTCACAGAAAATCTCATAACAACATGTGGGGTTTTTGTAGATTTTTGCCTGGTATTTACCAAAACCAAGTGTCTTTTTCACAAGCTCAGAAGCACCTGCTATGCCATAGATAAAAAGTGGTGCTATAAACTTTCCTCGATGTTTGAGGAAAACCCCACAGTCATAACTATGCCTTTGAATTTAAGCCACCCAGTGCTGTAGGGTTACTAACGCTGGGTGGATGCGACCCACGACATTTGCATTCATATCCCACACGCTCGCCTGGAACGTCTTTCTGAATTACTGCTCTTTCATTCTTGGTTTACATAAGTATCCCGTGGGACTGTTTCATTTGGGGACTGAGAACAAAACCTGAATCCCCCTAGCTCCCCAGGTCTCTGGGCCTCCTCCTGTTGCAGGAACGCAATTCCTTGGGGAGGCTCATCTTTCCACCCCGAGGTCGATGCAAATGGACCGGCGTTGTTAATGGACCTCTTCTGAGATTAGGCATTGAGGTTTAAAAGGCTGGGTTGATTAGATTAGCAGGATGCTTGACTTTCCCTGCACACCAGGGATTCCACATCCAGGAAAGCTCGCCCGCTGCCTTTTCAGTAATGCCCTTGCTCTGTTTCCGATTGGAGGGAGGGAGCGGAGAGGGGAGAAGAGGGAAGTGGGCTGAATCCATTTCTGCCATTCATTTGTAGAGGGACATATTAACCATGGAGCAGAGAGCAGCGTGGCGCCCTGGAACACAGACTCCTTCCTATGTGGGCACGGTGCAGGCTTTGAGGAGCAGGGCCTACTTCCCGCTTGTCGAGAAGCCAGATGCCGTGGAAGATGGTACCCACAAGCTTCTGGCTGGGCGCCCGCTTTCAGACTGGAACACTCTTCCAAGAGCGGTGCTAAGCTGAGCGTGTCACCGCACATGCCAGAAACAGCACTCGGCCTTCTTCTTGGCCCAGAATTATGTCAGTCCTGTCGTGATTGTGATATCGTGCCCCAAGATGGATGCCCAGGGGTCACGACGGGCACTGGGGCTTTTTGAAAGAAGCTACAAACATTAAAAGGGGGGAAAATCCAGCAACTAACTAACACTTGCCCTCCTTCGCCCCACCTGCCCAACTCCCGATTACAGTGAGGAAAAGGCTAAGAATTTTCAAAGGGGGTCTCCACCCATTTAGCAAGTGTCAAGGGCGCACAGAAGAGTATTATGTGACACTTAGGTCAACACCTGAGCACTTGAACCTTCTGTTCCCTGGATTCCCTGGTTCTCATCTCTCTCCCATCCTCAGTCTATGGCAAACCATCACCATTACAGCCATCTTCTTCACTCAGGGCTCTCTCCTCCTCACACTCATGCCAGGGCAGTCTTCCAGTCACTGACCCACCAGTGAGGAGGTGTTACTGGTCTCCCTCTCTGCCATTCCACCTCGGACACGAGCTGGTCCAGCGCCCACTTCGTTGGCTCTTGAGCAGCTCATGATTTTAGCTCTGGAGGGTCCAAGACAAGTGCTGTCTCCCTATCACCTCTCATTCAAGATCATCCTCCTCACCCAGCAGGGCCTAACAGCCTCACTCGCCTGCCTCTCTGCTCTCATGTCCCTGCCATCTTCTCCATCTCACCTACGCACTTCGCTTCCTTCCTCTCTCCACACTGCATCCCTCCATCACCATGGAGACCTGGGGCCAGATTGTCCGCTGCCCTGCACCTCGTGCTGCCACCTGCATACCAGTCATTCCTAGGCTGGTGCCGGAACTCGTCTCCCTCCTTTTACACTGGCATAAAGGACTTTGGGGAATGGAGAAACAGGTCCCGGAAGCCTCCTCCCCATTTCTATCCTGTGAGCTGCAGGATGAGCTCGGACAAGCCCTTCCCTTCTCGGCACCTCTCTTTCCCCCGCTATAAAGCAATAAAATAGGAACAATCCTGCCTGTTATCTGGCACTTCTCATCAGATCTCAAAGCACCTTTCCCTGGAAGGTCAGGTTCATGGCTCCCATTTTACAGATGGGGATCCCACTACAGAGAGAAGTGACTTGCCTGGGGTCACGTCGTCAGACTCTGACAGAGCAGGGAATAGAAGCCATGCCCCAAGCCCAGTCCAGTGCTCTGTCCATTAGGGAACACAGTCTCCCATGCTGCTGCTCAGTGGCTGTGTGTGTGTGTTGAATGGAAATTATTTCTGCACCCAGAGTAGAGCTGAAGGCCCCATGTCATTCAATGGCCAGGCAGCTTTTTAAACCTGTTTAAATGCATGGGGCTCCATACTGTAGCAGAGTTTTTACAGAATTGCTAAAGGCCCCTCACAGCATTGGACAGGACACTCAGTTTGCATAAACCTAAACAAATAAATGCAACTGATGGTTAATGGTAATCACTGAAGAGGTCCGATTTTTAATTTTTTTTTTTTTTTGGTAGATGGCAGGCTCTCGGGGGTAGGAGCTCTTTCCTTGTGTGATTCCACACCACACCCCCTTACACAACTGGGCACCACGTCAATGGCCAGATTAAAAGCTAATGGGAGGCAGAAGGGAAGACCGCTTGCTCCCCTTTTTAAAGTTAAATTGCATCTCAAGCAGCTATTCTGAGGTTGCAGCCAGTCCTCAGTGAAAGGTCTCTGGGTATGCCGGCCTTACTCCTCTATTTTCTGGGGTTTGTAACACAGCTGTGAGCAAAGACATGTCATTTTCACTGCAGAGGCCAATTTCCCGGTTGCCACATCCCTTATGGCAACCGCCAAATTGTAGCCCTCTCCTTTATCAGGTCTTTTATTAACCCGCTGGCACGGCGTCCGCTGTGTCCCACCCGGGTGCAGGATTGCGCTGCGCGAGGGCAGGGTTGCCCTGGGGGATTATGGTGTCAGTGCAGCAGACCAGAGGTGTCAGCGTGTAGCGTTGCAGAGCTCTGGCTGTGCCCGGGGATGGTCCTGCACTCCAGGCGGACAGTGTTAGCCTCAGAGGCTCGCTGGGACCCTCCACACGGCCTCTCTCTTTTGACTGTGGCAGGAGCCACAGCCTGAGCCGTACTCATCCCAGGCTAGTTCATAGTTTGGGGATAAAAGCCCCTCTGGAGTCCTGGTCTCCCTTCTCCGGGGCAGACTATGGCGGCGTGAGGAGGTTGGGGAGAACCTGGGCCGGCCCACTACTCCAGATTCCAGCCCAGGGACCCTAAAGTAGCAGCAACAGGCAGAGTTACTGCCACTCCCAATCTGGCAGCTTTTCCCTGGGCCTCTTCCCCTAACGATCCCTCCCAGGACCTGCTCGTCAGTCCTCAGCTCACACACATCTCACTGCACTTCCTCCTTCCAGCCCTTCACTCTTTTCCTTCTTCCCGCCTTCCCTGGGGTAAACCTTTGAAAGCAGCTCTATAGGCCTTAACGGGCTGCAGGTGTCTGATTAGCCTGTAGCGTCCAGCAAGCTCTAATTGGCCCCAGGTGCCTGCTTGATTATGCTACCCAGGGAAGAGAAAACTGTTTACCCAGGCCCCAGCATGTCTTCCCTCCATTAGCATGCAGCAGCCAATGGGTCTGGGTCTGTCACAGTAGACACAATTCACCGCGCTTGATGGGAGCCCTCCGCCGGGACATGGGGTAACGGTGCAGACTGTACTCACTAGAATACAACACCCAAAGGGCCCAGCCACATCACCCTTACAAGATACTGGTGCTTAAACATTCCCTGCCACACTCCAGCAGCCTGCACCACACGCTTCCCAAATCCCAAGCAACTGCTGCCCTGCCATCTGCTTTTCACACCCCTCATTTTCCTCCTTGCCCCACAAGGAAGGCCGTGGGCACGCCATAGATTCCTCTTGCCTCTCATTTGCCACAGTCTCCTCCCTGAGTCTTCTCAGAGTCTTCTCAGCTTCAGTCTGCCCACACTCCACCCCCTCCCTTGTCTCTTCCTCAGCCGAACCGTTCCTCTGACTGGACCTCTCTGACCGATTTGTCCATCTGTCCCTGTCCCTCCTCGTTCCACAGGGACTTTACCCATCACATCAATGGCCAGTCAAACCTCACTGGCTCCACATTCCTCTTCCACACCAATGCTGCACTGTCCTTCCTGCTCACCTTCATGGTCACACGGTTGACCTGCCCTGCTCAAAGCTCCATCCAGCTCCCACTTCCCTCTCTGTGAAGTCTTTTACCTCCATGTCCTCTGTTCTCTCCCAGCATTTTCATGCCTCTCTCTGACTTCTTTGCCATTCCCCATCTGTCCCCACCCATTCTTCAGGTAGTGGTCCTGTCTCTTACAACAGCTCCGTTCTAGGGGCACCACAAACAGCCACTCCTCACAACCCCAGCCTCCTTGATACCAAAAGTCTCTGCATCCAGTTAGTGCCGTGCGACCTGGCAGCCAGTGACAACACAAAAGCGATACACAAACTGATGGCCTGAGCTGGCTCTGCTGTGTAAGTGAGTGAATGAGTGGTAAGTAAAGCCATCTAAGCCAGTGGAGCTACATGCTGTAAAGGAGAGGAGACCCTATCTGGTTGCCACAGCGCACATGAGCGCCCACGGGTTCTGCAGCATTGACAGCAGGTGGGCAGGAGGGAGAGAAGGAATGGAAGGGAAAAGGGAAACCGAGCAGGAGGCACAGAGGGGCGTGCTGTAGAAGGCTGTGGTTTAATTAGCTAGTGGAAAACACTGAGAGGAAAATAAGAATAGAAAAGTAACTTGAATGGAAAGGAGGAATGAAAGAAACCTGAATGAGGCAAAAACTGGAAATTGCATTTATGATTGTGAAATGTTGCACACAAACTAGCCTGGAAAAAACAGAAACAGGATCAGTGCACGGCAATTTAGGGCAGGAAGTGAAGAGGGCCAGGCCAATGAAGCTGCACAGACTTATACCATCAGAAAATTGGGCTCACTACATCCAAGCCCAACTGCAGAGGGCATTAGGGAGACAGAAGCCAGCTGGAACTCTGCCAGGACACCTGTTGGTCATGGGATCATCACTGGACAAGCTCCTGGACTTTGGCTTTAATCACAGAATCATAAAGCACTAGAACTGGAAGGGACCTTGATCATCAAATCTAGTCCCCTGCCCTCACATCAGGACCAAGCACCGTCTAGACCATCCCCCGCAGTTGTCTGTCCAACCTGCTCTTAAATATCTCCAGTGATAGAGATTCCGCATCCTCCCCAGGCAATTTAGTCCAGTGTTTAACCATCACCTGTGTTTAAGTCTCATTGTCAAAAACCCTGTGGAATCCAACCTTTCTGATAGGTCACTAGGCTCTTAGGGATCGTGCGAGTTTTGCTGATTTACTGGGGGGAGCAGCAGCTGAGTCTCACCTGTTTCATTTGAGAAGCAGGTTTTATGAAACTTCCCCATGTAGAACTCCAGCCCAATGATGGCGAACATCACAATCGCAAAGAAGAGAAGCAGCCCAATCTGGAGCAAGGGCACCATAGCCTTCATGATGGACTTGAGGACAACCTGCAAACCTGTAGGAAGCAAGAAGATGATGGTAGTCAGAGGCAAGAGGAAAAGAAAGGGGTTTTGGAGTGGAGGGGAGTTTGGATTTTTAATACAATGCTCTGGATTGTCAATGTTGGACAATGCCTCTTTCTTTGAGGTCATTGATTCAAAGTGCTCTCTGCTCAGCAAGGATTAATGCTCAACCCAGATCCCATCCAAATTGTCCAACTAACATCAGATCCTAAAAGCTGTTCAGTAGCTCCTGTGAAATGTGTTGGTGATCTCAAGCCAGCTCCCAGGATATGGGTCCAATTAAAAAACAAGCAACCCCATAGCCACAATTGGTGTGAATTTGGCACGCTGTTTCCCATAGAGGCCAAGGCGTCGGTTTAATTAGCTTAATTAGTCATGAAGAGAGAGCATCCTGGCAATTCATAGCCACTCATGATGACAATGGGTCATCACTGGCCAGGGAAAAAAACAGTCTGCTCCACAGCCTAGTGGTTAGGACATGACCTACCTGGTAGGAGACTCAATTTCAGGGCCCCGCTCCAGCTGCTGGAATAATTGAGAAAGCCCCATACCAGAATAGCTGCAAAAGGCACAAGTTTAAACTCCTGCTCTACCTCAGGCAGAGAGGGGAACTGAACCTGTATCTCCTACATCCAATGTGAATGCCATAGCCTGGCAGCTACAGCTTTAAAAGGCAGTTAGCATCACCCCCACCTCCTCTTCCTGCCCCCCTCCATTATTTTTGTGATGCCTTTCCTTGGGTCTTCTTACAAAAGCCTGAAAAATCAAAACAGAATTTTGGGGGTCGAAATGAAATGTTATCCACATGACCAGTTTTTCAGTGTGGTGGAAGCGAGTCAGCAAACTCCACTGAAAATTTACGACTGGTTTCAGCCGACCCCAAGTGAATTTTTCAGCAACTAAACAATTCCCTGGAAACATTTGGCCCTGCTGTCAGTGAGACCCACTTAGACACAAAGGCTATGTCTACACTGCAGGGTTTTTTCCAGCAGAAGATATGCAAATCGTGCTCTCATTTGCATATCTTCTGCCGATCCTTTTTGCGGGAAGAGGTTTTGCCACTAAAAAGTTCCGTGTAGATGGGGCCATTTGTTGTCCCCCCCCTTTTTTTTTGCAAGATCCTGTAAACCTCATTTTTTGAGGAATAAGGGATCTTGCGAAAAAGGGGTTTTTCCCCTACAAATGGCCCCATCTACACGGGGCTTTTTAGCAGCAAAACCTCTTCTGCAAAAAGGATCAGCAGAAGATATGCAAATGAGAGTGCGATTTGCGTATCTTCTGCCAAAACCCCCCAGCAGCATAGACATAGCCAAAGAGGCGCTGGTGTCGCTGCACCCAGTGGACTCATCTTGTGGATAAACAGAGGCCTGCGATCTTCCAATCTTGGGCCTTTTCCATGCACATGTTTCTCAGCAGACTAATAGAAACTGAAAGCCCAGAAGTTGCAAGGAGCAAGAGCTGGTTGTTAGGCTGGCCAGGCTAGAGCATTTTGATGAGATTGTAGGTGTAGTTACAGCATGTTTGTGATCAGATTTAATCGTAACTATTATTTTTAAATGAGAAATTGAGTATTTTATAGATGATTTTAAAAAATACAAAAAATCTGATTTAAATACAAAAACCCAATTTAAATAAAAAATATGATTTTTTTAAAATTTTCATCGATCTTTGTCCACTCTGTGCTTATTTAAATGGCCTCATACAGTCAAAAAGCACTGTAGTTTGGCGCCTAAGAGATCACCCCGTGACTATTAATTACAAATGCCTCTTTATAAATGAAGGCCAGTTTGTTACAAGCCAAGCCACGGGCCCTTTCCTTTCGGGTGGGAAATGCCTGTGTAATCTGTGCTTCCAAAGGGACACTGCTGTCTCAAGTTTCCAGCCCCAGAGGCAGGGCAGCTAATTCCTCATCAGATGTGCACAGCCCCTGGTGCTTTGGCTGCAAGAAACCTTCTCTGTTGCACAGCTGAAACACCAGGCTGCTGCTTAGAAGGATGGTAAGGCATTAAACCGAACAAACAGCTGAGCTTCATGGAAGTGCCTGACATTTAAAAGGGAAATAATTTCCTGTCCCTGCTTCATGCTGCATGGAAAATGCTTCCGTTCCAGACTCAGCAAGGAAATATACCATTTGTAGTGATCTGTTGCTCACACACCCAGAGGGCACTAGGCTTGGAACAATGAGCAGGTATCCCCAGGGGTCTGCTGCAATGTATTGTTCAGTGCCCCTCTCCAGAGCATCTGGCCCTTTCAAACGAAGATATAAAATATCAGGTTGCCTTATGTGAAACTTGATTATAGCCACTGTCCCTTTTCCCCGGCCAAGCCTTAACTGGTGCTACTTACACAGGCCTGAGTCACATGGGAGGCCAGACCCACATTTGATGTCACCTGCCATGGCTCTAGCTAACAATCTCCCTTGGGAAATTGAACACTGGGGCGCCAGAAACCGGGCACTGCTTGGAGCACTCATCAAGTCCCAGAGGTGAAGAAGTCTCAAGCATCAGATGTGTGAGGTAGCACTTTGCTCTCCCTCTGCATAGGTGTAAATGCTGACCCTTTACACAGAGCAATGGAAAATTAGGTCCCAGGTGTGGGAAGCAAGGGCATCCTCGCGGGACGGGAAGCACAGGGAAAACTATAGTGTCCTGAGGGCACGGTTCCCCAACGGCCAGGGGGCCCTGACAGGGATAATCATATGGCCATGGTTCTTGTGACACTCACTTGGAATTCCTGACACCAGCTTCAAAGGTCTCAATACCCGAACAGCTCGCAGGGTGCGTAAGTCAAAATCAGTCCCGGCAGTGGCTAGAATCCTGATTTAAGACAAAAAAAAAGGGGTAGGAATGGGGAAAGGCAAGAAAGAGAGAAAAATTGAATTAAATGTGAGTTTTCCAAAATGCAAATAAATGAAGCATGATAACAAATTCAGGCCACCTAGGATTTTATGGTGGTCATAACACTGCATTCAGTTGCCAGTGAAAACATACAATGCATATCTGCTTGCTCCTGCGTCGCACATCCCTAGTATTCAAGCTAAAGGAGAATCTCCGTTAGCTGTCCCCAATATAGAGTCTATGACACACAATTGAACAGTTCTGATTCCATCTTGCAGAGAGGAGTGTCCTGTGTACACAGACATGCAAATTCGAGTGTATTTATATAATACAAGCTTTGCTCTTTTTTAAAAATGTTGTTTAATTTTTGTTTAGTCTGAACTTGATATTTTCCATTTAATCCTGAGCAATTTTTATCCCCTTCACTTGTATGCATTCAAAATTATTAACCTAACCTTTTGAAGTCACCTAGCTTGTTCTTTAGGAGACTGTTGACATACCGCAAGACCCTGAGCATATGGGTGGGTGAGTGGAGGGGTTCCCAAAGCACACAATCTTGAATTTTCAAAATGTCCATGTTTGATATATTTCAACAACCTCTATAATTGGTCAAAAACATCAGGAGGCTAGAAGAATTGCAAAAAGTTTTTCTAATTTTTTTCTCATAATCTTCCCCAGCCAAAATCCAATTCAGAACATTGAGGATATTTTGAAATTTGCTCAGTACTCACACTTGTAATATTTTCAAGAGCTCGGCTCCTATCATGCACTTAATATGAAATGTGTATTTAATACGTCTCTTTTGAAAACTGGCCCCAAATGTCCTGAAATATGCAAGTCAATTAGATCTTCAGGTGATGGTGTCTAACTAACTCCAGATGGAACCAACTCTAGAGATGGTTGGACATTTTCAAATGTTGATATTTCATTTGAATTTCAAAATTCAGTGTGGGGCAAAAAAAAATGTTTTAAGTTTGTTTTTCTTTTTTTTTCCTACCCAAGCTCTTATGGGGAAAATGGGGCAGTCAGCCAGCCTCTGAGTAAAGAAAGATGACTCCTTTTTCCATTTCCCAGTGAGATCATGGCAAACATATCCCCAACACAACAAAAATTATCCCCTAACAAGGCTAGAATATGAGACACTTTATTAGAGACTCCATCATGCCGATGGCTGATGGTTTCTTTGAATGAAAAGAGTTTCTGTTTTGTGTTTTACTCTGTGCATGTGTAAATATAAGTTTGGGAGCAAAATACCCTACTTTAGAGAAAGGAAAACAATAAGAAAAAAGAGAGCTCATAGTGTGAGCATGTACATTGCAATAGTCTGCAATAGCTCTCAGAACAAAATGGCTGCCATTTTGGCAGGCTGGCAATTCATAGACACTAAAATGCATCATAGAGAGAAAACCAAAAGGCATTTTCAGGCTAGCCATAGTACAACAGGTTTCACTCCAGCAGCAAGGAAAGAAAAGAGAGCATAGGCTCCAGAAGGCATGAGGAATGCATTCTTCCCTAGCAAGGTTTGCCAGACAACAAAGGGTACGTCTACACTGCAAGCTTATTTCAGAAAAAGCTATTCCAGAAGATATCTTCCAGAATCGCTTATTTCGAAATAGACCGTCCACACTACAGGGAAGCCTCAAAATTAGTTCGAGGCAGGCTCCCCTAAAGGCCTTCGTGAGGAGCTATTTCAACATAGCAGCAGTGGAGCATCTACACACCCCCTCTTCCAAAAGAGCTTTTTCGGAAGAGGCCTTATTCCTCATGGAGCGAGGTTTACCAACGCTGGAAAAAGCCCTCTGTTATTTTGATTTTCTTTCGAAATAATGGAATTGACGTGTGGATGCTAGTATCGTTTTCCTAAAATAACAGGTGTTATTCCGGAATAACGGTTCAGTGTAGACGCACCTTTAAACACTCAATGCCTTGAGTAATTACTTCTGCAGCTCTTCCTTTGGTGTTACCACAGCACAAATGTTAAGAGCTGAGGAAGGAATTCCCCATGGCAACTAAAGCAAACAGCTCACCAACTCCCTATTGATCAGTCCCTTTAAAATCATTGTAGGCAACACCCATTAATTTTTATAGGTTTCTTCTGAGGCTATTTTAACAGAGGGAACAAAAGGAAGGTGCGGATGAGCTAGCCCTAATAACAGAGTCCACAAGAGCCAGGCTGAGCCATTTTTAGCCATTCTTGCCTCCTGCATATGCAGCCTTCACACCTGTCATGGTATCCCTTGATGGAACAATATCCTTGTGTACAGACATCAGTAAAGCAGTCGGGCCTAACATCATGCAGATCTGAGG